ATATTAGGTTATATTTCGTCACTTCTGAAGCATTCGTTTTTTTTTTATATGCCATACCAGGACGTGGGAGATCATGACTCTCCACAACTTCATATCATTGGTAGTCCTCAGTAATATTGCCTCATTTTAATCCATCGCCATTACTGCACTAAGATGGATTTAATCAGGAAGTTTCCCCTCTTGCATTTAGTATATCTTGGATGTGTCATAATCTCCAGGCCGTTTTTCCTCATTATAGGTCTTAGAAATTTTAACTGTCTATTTCTAAATACCTAATATAATTTTGTTCTCATTTTTTTTAAATTTATTCGTCGCTAACATGATTTATGGCAATATAAGTAGAGCCATATCTCAAGTCTTTCCTTCATCTACGAGGAAATTGTCTAGCATTCCCTATCATATAATAGAACCAATACTACATAAAATTTCAGCGCCTTTTTCCTTGTTTCTAACATGATTTATCTGTTTCTAAGTATATTGCTTAACTTTTGGGAGGTGTTTTCACAATTCCACTGCTTTTTCGGATTTCGGTGTCACAGTATCTGTTATACTACCAAGTTTGTTACATTTCTGTTCCTGCTTATTACTGGCACCATCAATTCGTAGCTTTCTAATCGCTAAAGAAATAGTATTCTTTAATTTTAACTCGAGAAATTCAACAAGCCACATTTTAAGCACCACGTCGCTGCTGAACGAAACACCCCTCAGGTTGACAGAAAGCGACTGCAAAAGGCGATAGTCTGAAGGTGCTAAATCAGGAAAATATTGTGGATGTGGCAGAGCTTCCCACCCAACCTCTTTCATTGTATTTTCGGTCATGTTAACAACGTGGGGACGAGCCCTCATGTTGAATAATCCCACTGTATCGCCTGTCAGGTCTTTTCAGCTAAATTGCCCCCTTGAGCCTGTTCATCTGTTCAACAGTAGCATTTCATAGTAAATTAGTTCTTGCCAATCCGTCTAAACGCAGATCATTCGCTGGCATTTCTCGAGTAACTTTGGCCACTTTGTGACCTTGATTAAAAGCGAAAAGACGACGTCAAAGGTGACTCGTACTTGTCCACTTGGCATTGCAGCTCAAATGTCTGAAACAAAATGTCTAAAACTTTAGAAAACAGTTTCACACAATGGCCAGTGTTACTAAAAAGCAAAAAAATAATTTTGAAATAATTCGCAGATTATCAGAAAAAAAAAAACGAACGAACGTATGTAACAATCTAACAACAAATTTCCCTGTCTCTTCTTTGTTTAGCTTTTGGAAGACATCTTCCGCTATTCCAATGTTTCTTCGGATTTCTACGTGACATTTTCCAACGTCTATGTTAAATAAAGTCAATGGATGGACAAAGGGTTTTACAGTATGTATCTAACTGACAAAGAACTGAATAAATTTTCTGGTCGTAATAATTACGATCAGAGCTTGAATATTATGATATGATTATTAGAATTAAAGAATAAAATACACGATTGAAATGATCGGCCGATATAAATTAAACTTTCTTTCTTTTCATTTTGTTTTTTTTTGGACACAGATAACAAATGAATGTATTGAACTTGAAAAAGTAAAACACAGCAAATAAAACAGTAAACCAAATCTTGAGGACAATTTTATTAAAATTTGATGATTTATTAAATATTTTGGGCCGCTTATTATGCTTGTGTGTTTCATTTTTTTTTCTTTCTAACAATCATTTTCTTTTATTATTTCATTTTGGAAGTTCGACGTTGGATATCACATTTTCCATTCGCTTGCTGAAAAGACTATACATCATTTTTCGACTCCACTTCGTCGTTGAAAGAAATCTTATTTATTTTTAATGCGATTCTGAGTTTTAAAACGCAGAGTAAATACAGAAAATAAATCAAAAATGACATCTCGTAGGTCCGGCGACCAAACAATAACTATTCATACGTAAACGACGGGTTTGAAAAAGAACACACACATATACACACACAGAGATACAGACACACACACACACTATATATATATATATATATATATATATATATATATATATATATATATATATATATATATAATTGCGAATTAAATTTCAAGCGCACAGTGTTCGTCTACTACAGTTAGTTTCATGCTTTTACGCAGTCGCCAGGCGGTCGGCAGCTGCAATGCGGATCTAAAATGAAAAGAAAAAGCATATGGTCAGTGCTTGTACACCATGCACACGCCAACCAAAGTTACCTGGGTTGGGGAAAGCCCCCATCCGGCCAAGATCAAATAAAGCCGTAAACACACAATTATAACCACCTCCCAACAAACAAAAACAGAAACATCTTGCCGATGCGGCAAAATGTGCTCAATGCCACACGAAACCATGTGGCCTAGGGACCTAATGCTTTCATTTTTATATGGCGTTGAGCAATTTTCTTTCCGGTCTGCATTTATGGCAGGCTCATTTTAAGAGCTTATTTGTATTAATATTAGAACTCTCCTCCACGGGTGTGTCTTTGTGGGTCCCGGCTGTGTTGAGCAAGTTTTTTTGCTTGAAAGAATTAAGTTTCTAGAACGCGAACGCATTATTTTGTGTGGCATTGAGCACTTTTTGGCCCGATCGTATCTGGGGTTTTTTATTTCGGTTTTCAGGGATAATATCTTTTTTATTCACTGCACATCAAGTAGCTGAATAAATCCAGGATCTTCGGCGATAAATCTCCTTATTCCTTACACAAGAAGTAACAGAATAAGTTCATAGCCACATTTAGTAATAAGTCAATTAACTCGCGACCTATCGTCACCGGAGATTATCAGGAACTGAAATTACAATTAAAATTTATATATATATATATATATATATATATATATATATATATATATATATATATATATATATATATATATATATATATATATATATATTTATATATATATATATATATATTTATATATATATATTTATATATATATATATATATATATATGTGTATTTATATATATATATATTTATATATATATATATATATATATATATGTGTATTTATATATATATATATATATATATATATATATATATATATGTATATATATATATATATATTGTATATATATATATATATATATATATATATATATATGTATATATATATATATATATATATATATATATATATATAATATATAGGTATATATATATATATATATATATATATATATATATATATATATATATATATATATATATATATATATATATATATATATATATATATATATATATATATATATATATATATATATATACTTGAACAACTAGGTTGTATATTAATAGTTTTTTTATTATTTAAATTAGGTTCTTCAAATAGTTTCGGCCAGCATGTCCATAATCAGGACAAAATCCTTGCTTGTTAGTAGCAGTGAAATACAGGGATGATTTACCGTCCCTGAGGAAAGTGAATTTTTTCTGTAGTTTTCATTTGTTTTTTTTTTTTGTTTTTTTATCGTTAATTTTTGGTCAGTCCTTGTATTTGGTCAAAAGGCGTCTTCCAAGTTTTTTTTTTTGAAGAGAGGCTTAGAGATTCATGAGTCTCAGATTTGCCTCCTTAGTCATTCTGGCAGCCTTATTCGTTGCTGGGAAGGGGATCTTTCCCCCGTGCTCTTCATGCGGAGAAATCGGTTATTACCAGGTACTGACCAGAATCAACGTTGTCTATCTTCGGTGATCAGACGAGAACAGGTGTTTCAACGTGATATGGCCGTCACCCAGATAAGTATAAACATTTCATTTAATTGTTCTATTATGAAATTAAATCATAATATATTTCTCTTTTTGAAATGAGATGGAAAACAAAAATCCAGTTTTTTTTTTTTCTTATTTTCAAATATTAATCCCTTTAGAAAACCATGTCGCATTTTTGGAAAATGTATGAAAAAAATGAATATTTTGAAATGCAAGAACGGAAAATTGTTGGAGAACATGAACATCACTATTAAAGTCAATATAATTAGAAACCATGGTATTCCACATTGAATAAAACATGGATTCTGGATGAAAAGTATACGTTTCGTTCTTTCGTCAAAAGTTTTCAGTGGTGGGATTAAATTATAATTTCAAAAAATGTTTAACCATTTAGAAAGATGAGTTACACGAGCGTCATTATTTGAGCTGTCCTTTACTGGATTCATATCCAAAGTTGGTGTCGAATAACGGAAGTTGTCTTCCAAAAGCTAAGCAAAATATTTAGAAGCATGGAAATTTCACTAGGAACAAAGAAAAGTTTACTGCACTGTTATCGATCCTTTTATATGGTAGTGAATGCTGGACAATCTGCACACGGATGAAATACAAACTTGAACCAACAATAATATGGTTCTACAGAAGGACGTTCAGGATACCATTTATGCTTTGAAAATTTCGGCAATGGAGATCATAATTATATTTATAATGAAACTTGTGATTCTTGACGAATGTTTAAAGAAAATGGAAAGAAAAAAAGAAAAGTTAAAATTTCTAAGACGCATAATAAGCAAAGAAGGCTTGGTAAAATTAACATTCATAGACAATATTGAAGGTAAGAGGGATGGAGGGAAACATCGAGTAATCTTCTTCAAGAGTGTATGTAAATGGATGGCATTACAGGGAGGGGAGAGAGAATAGAAATTTGGGCTACAAAGGGCGCACCTCGACGTAGCTTAATGGTTAACAAGTAGTGCGTTCGATTCTCACTGGGTGCTCTACACTTCAGACTTGCGCTTCTTCTAAGGTTTGGTTTGTTTTGTTTTACGGTATATCAACCTAATTGGGTTATTTAATGTCGACGAGATTTTTTAATGCTGCTAATATTTTTTTCTGTTCAGAAATCCGTTGCTGGTTACATTTTTTTTTTCATCAAAAATCTATTACTACTAATACTTTTTCAAAAAATGTATTGCTGCTAACATTTTTTTACAAAAATGTATTTCTGGCACTAAAACCCACCTCTACACTTTCACAGTTCTCCGACCGCAGCTCGGGAGCCAAACGCCTTCCCATAGGTGGGGCCCCAACATGTGCCACCACCCCGGGCCAGGACGAACCCGGGAACAGCAACAACCTCTCCCCAAACCCTCCCTGTCAGAAGCCCCACCGCTGGACGCAGTTTATAGTCCCACTCAAGACGCGGATGTAGTTTATCGTTATACCCAGCATGGCAACATCTAAGCCAAGCTTGGGAACTCATTAAGCACTTCAGTGTAATGTAATGGTTAGCAAGCTTGTATCGCTAGGTCAATTACGTCTGAGCAGCGAGTTTGATGGGTGCTACGCTTGGAATATCATTGGGCACTTCAACGTAGTGTAATTGTTAGCAAGCTTATCTCGTTAGATCAATTACGACTAAGTAGTGAGTTCGATCCTCACTGGGTGTTCCACACTTCAGCCTTGTGTCACATCTAAGCCTAGAAGATCATCATAAGTGTTACAAAGGATAGGAAGTTTTGGGTAGCCTTGATAACCTGTTTTAAAAGATGACAAATTGCTTTCACATTCTGACGTAATTATTGTTGGCCATATTTAGTCCTTATTTATAAACCATTTGCTAGCTCTTAAATAAAAATAATGCCTGTGATGGTTTTACCTAATTCGAAAAACTCGTAACAAACGAAGCCTATTCTCGAATAAAACTTAGAGCCGTAACCGGCGGGTCGATTCAAATTGACGTGTCGAGTTCAAATCCTAACCAAGTCCGTTACGCCAGCTTTCGCACGACTACCCTTTGAAAAGTATGGATCTTTCTATTAACCCATACTCTCAACCACAGTTAAATAGCAAGGACTACTTATTAGGTTGGTGCAAAAATAATGACGTAATAATGTCGTTTTTTGACGTTAAAAAATACATCAAAAACGACATTATTACGTCATTATTTTTGCACCAACCTAATACCTTTAGTTGCCAGCTAATCTAATAGGTTCAGTCGTTTCCCTTTTGTGGGGGAGCAATTGTAATGACGTTTTTATCATCTCAAGCATTACCGTATTTCCCCGTGTATAATACGCATTTTTTCTTAAAATAATAAGCAAAATCAGGGGTGCGTATTATGCACAGCTAAAAATATCTTTGAAAAATTGCCGTAAAATAAAATAAGGTATATCATCAAAATAAATTAGAATAATATTCTATGTTTAAAACCATTTTTTTAAATAAGAGTAAAAACGGTCGCCGTAATGAAATTGGAGAAGCACAATTTATAGACTTTGATTACTAAACAAAGGGTGCGTATTATGCATGAGTACAAGCATTTTCACACACTTTCAGCCCAATTTTAGGTGTGCGTATTATGGATGAAGGCGAATTACACATGGCGGATTACGGTACTTAATTATACAAAAGAAAGTGAAAAATTATCTGCACTCATCAATAATTTCACGAAATTCTACAAAAATGCGGATAAATGTTGACTTAACCTCGTATCATAAAGGTTGATGAAAAGTGGGTTCCATACAACAATGTTTAACGCTAAAGAAAGTGGACTGAAAGGATAACTCTCCACAACTAACTATGAAAGAAGAGCTTCAAAGTTAATGTGGTACGTGTGGTAGTAACGTTCAGGTGTCTTTAATATTTATGTTCTTAAAAAGCAATAAAATATGTAAGATGCATATTTAAACATCCAGCAGATGCAACATGTCGATATAATTTTATTCAAAAGACCCCTTCGCTTGCCAATTGGATTGATTGATTGATTGATTCCTTTAATTAACGACGAATCAACTCATTATGGGACGTTTAATACCGAAATTTAATTTTCTTTGCAATTTTGAAGTAATAAAAATATATATGTTTTTGTGGAGATGATTATTACAGGCGATGAAAATATGATAGAAATTACAGTTTGTCGGCCATTGTCACCGAGCGGACAGGGAAATCATCTCATCCTTATTATATATCATAAGGAAGTCGAAGGATGATATTCATCAGATGAGGATGATGAATATCAGTCTTTCATATAGAGCATTGAATACTTGACAATTGCATAGATGAAGAATAGGCAGCAGAGACAACAGACATGTGGTTCATTTGAAGGATACTAGTTCTACGGGAATGATGCTGGTTCTACAGAACGATGCTGGTTCTATAGAGAGATACACTGAGCATGTGAGCAACACTTAAGCTCAAACAAAAACGTTTACAGTTTGCCGGTCATTGCCGCCGAGCGGACAGGGAAATCGTCTCATCCTTACACCGATGGCATACTTCTGGAAGTGTCTTCTCAGTAAAAATTGACTTTCCCAGACACCATAGTTCTAATTATAATACAATGGACAGAACATGTGAGCAACGAGAAGATTTTAAGGAAAATGGGGGGGTACTTAGAATCAGAAAGGGGAAGATGAAATTTCTAGGGCACATAATGAAGAAAGTGAGCGCACCTCGAGGTGATGTAATGGTTAGAAAGCTTGTCTCGCTAGAACAATTACGACTGAGTAGTGAGTTCGATTCTCACTAGGTGCCCCCCCCAATTTCGGCATTGTGCCACATCAAAGCTATGCTTGGAAAATCATTATAATGAAGAAAGTTAAGTTGGAAAATTTAACCCTCACAGAACGCAATGAATGCAAGATAAAAACGGGAAAGGAGTAACTTATTTGACATGCTTGTGCAAATAGACAAGGAGGGATATTAGAGGGTTAAAAGGTACTTAGAGCAAGAAATAACAGGAAGTTGCGGAGAGCCATGATCGTCCCCTCCCTAAAAGTACATGGCATATGTAAAACAAAAAATACAGTCTACGTCCCTGTCAATATCTTTTTGTTTTCCTACCTCTGTGTTTAGCTGCCGGTCGGTCTGTCTGTCGGTTTGTCTGTCGGTCTGTCGATCGTTGAATCACACTTTCTCTTTCTACTTCTCTCTTTATTTTATAAGTTATACTGTGTTCGAATATAGATGTAAGAATTTCTTTATTACCCTTTCTTTTTTCCATCCTCCCTATCATCTATCTATCTATCTATCTATCTATCTATCTGTCTGTCTGTCCTAAGTATAACGATAAACTGCATCCGTCAGCAAGGGCTATGACTGTCGTTCACTTTCTGAGCGAACGGTTCGGTTTAACTCTCTGCTTTCGGGCGGGAGGAACCCGAAGGAGGCTACGCCGAAGGGCGGAGTCTCCTTCGGGGAAGTAAAACCGGCCCTGAACCCGTTTATACGGGTTCAAATGGGTTATTTTTTGGCCGAGCCTAATGGCTCGAAATGCCCACGTTAAAAAGGCCTTGTGCCACATGACGCCCTCGTGGGGGGACGACTAAATATAGTCAGCAAGGGCTATGATTAGGAGATTCTGAGGAGCGTGGAACCACTGCTTAATTGCTGTTCTCCTCAAATCCACCCTGACCCCGGGATTGTAGCACCTGTTAAAGTCCTACCTATGGTCAAATAGTTGACTTCCAAACTGGGCTCAAAACACTATGAAAGTGTAAAAATATGTTTTTTATAGTAAAAATACCAACAATACATTTTTGAAAATACAATTATTAGAAGCAATACATTTTTGGAAAAAAAAATCATTATCAGCAATATATTTTGTAAAAAGTATTACTAGCAATATATATTTAGAAAAAAAAAACCTCTTTACAAAAAATGAAAATTGATCTCCTACAAACTGATTTCTTACATAGAACTCATATTCTATTCATACGAAACTCTCCTAAAAATTTTGTCGGCATTAAATAACCCATTGAGGTTGATATGTTGTAAAACAAAAACCTCTCTCTCTCTCTCTCTCTCTATCTATCTATCTATCTATCTCTATCTCTCTCTCTCTATCTGTATATCTATCTATCTGTTTATGTTAATCATTTTTCTCTCTGAATGCGATATTTTTATCCTCCACCATATCCCCATATTTCTTTTCTCATTCTATTTCCATCACTTTTTTTTCCTTTTTTTCTTTGTTCCTTTCTCTCCTGCACACAATAACGTTTAATTTTGAAAGAATTTGAAATCAAGCAACAAAGGTGAGAATTTCGGGTCCTTTACAATTAACCGATTTCAATTCATTACAATGTTTTGAGTGAACAACTTGATAAATCAGTCGTTAACTTCCTTAATACGATTTCCCCGTCGACTTCCGGTAGAAGAATAAGGCCCAGATAAGACATATAACACAAGATGATTATTTCATTCCAAGATAGAAACGGCGAGAATCTTATAAGACTTCCTTAAATTCGTCGGCATCTTTTACTTATCGTTTATTTTCAATCCCTGTGATTTTATTGGATGTTGTTCCTCATAAGATGTATAATTGGGAAACTGATTACAATTCGGAAATCAGTGAACCAAATTCAAATTCTATTCTTGATTGATGTTAAATTTGTTTGCCTCTCCTGAAAAATCAATGATTCTACTTAGAGTCAATTGTTTCTCTTACACTCGACAATAATGGATTTCCTTTTTCACCTGTTTTAACCACTGATAAGAAGAGTTTTTGAGGTGTCATTGATGAATCCTCAATTACATGCATGTACAAGTCCGACACAGAAATAAACACACAAACAGATATGACGACGCACTGCGACAAAATGAACGATTGCCTTTCTTTCCTGAGACTTCGTAAAAAAAGAAATCACAGCTAATTTTTTGTGAGCTGAAAGAAAGCTGATTTCATATATATATATATATATATATATATATATATATATATATATATATATATGCGTCGTCCGACAGGAATCGGACCTCTATCCTACACAGAACCGTCATATAGCCTGACGTACTATACCACTTTAGCTACGAAGGAATCGACTGGCTTACAAGGGTGAATTACTGATTTTAAACTACAATTTTCTCATGATTTCCCTCGAAAGTTCATATCTACTCGAAGCGTAGCTTAACGTAAACAAATGACGTCGAACTTGGTCAGTTTCATAATACATGACGTCATTTAGTAAACGAATCCAATGCACTTGATTAACCAATGAAAATGAAACAACACAATAGTAAAAATACCAGAATTTTGTTTCTTCTTTGTGCATATTTCATTCCCTGATGAAGCTTTATTAAAAGTGAAACATTTTAGATTGATAAACGGCTTCCTATTTGTTTTTATCATATTCTGTCAGATTCCTATTCATATATGATCTACATTTTATCCCAAATTTTATCTATCTATCTATATATATATATATATATATATATATATATATATATATATATATCTGTTCATATATATATATCTATATCTGAATCTATCTATCTATATCTGTCTATATATATATATATATATATATATATATATATCAGTCTGTTTTATTTCTATCTATGAATCTCAGTCTATTAAATATCTATCTAATGTCATCTATCTATCTAATTTATCAACATCTATGTCCAATCTATCTATCATCATATTCATAAATCATACCCTTTGAAACAATCAGAAGTTTTAGTTATGATCTAAAACTTGTTTGGCTTTGAAAAAAATTGCGTCATTAGTAATTGCATCAGATTTTCATCATGCCCAGACAGTAATGTTGCGACTTGTCGATTAGTTGTCCCAAATTGTCTGCCTTTACCAGTGAACCAATCTATTCTCCTGATTTATGTCAATCCGCAAGGAAAACTTTGTGGAATGGATATACAAAAGTACTAACATGTGCACTGGGTCTGGTTTAGAAAATACGTGAAAAAGTAAATCATAACGGAATTATTCTGCCTTGTTTTTCAATTAATTTGCACAAGAGTAAATTTTTTAATTGTTACGTAATATGATTCCCCATATATGGCAGCAAATACTGAACAATCTCCTCACAGATGAAGAGATATCCTATGGACTAGATATTGTTTGGGAAAAATATATATATATCAGAACGAAAGAGTTGAAACCTCTAGAGGAGATAATGAGGAAAGAGGGCTTGGGAAGTTTGATACTCACAGGAAAGACGGAATATAAGAGGGTCAGAGGAAGGAAACAAAACGTATAACCAACCTAACGAGCTTGTGTAAATGGATGGCATATTTAAGAACTACAAAGGAGAGGAAATTGTACATGATTTTATAGATGAAGATTATCTACATATGTCCAAGGTGTATTTTATTTCTGTCTGTTGACAGTTCTGTTTGAATGCCAAATCTACGTCTCTCGAAAGGCGATATGTCAAAGAATTGCTGGTGATATAAATGTGATGAAGAAAAGTTTGCTGATGTCTCCATGATTATCAAGATATATGATATAGGGAAAAAAAAATTAGATATATAAATCCTCTTCTTAGCCAGAAAATATTGAAGAAAATCGAGAAATGAATTGAATTTAATCAGAACGAGAATGTGATAAAAAAAAGATGCATTTCAGGAAGAAATAAAGGTTTTGTTTGATATCTGTAGCATTTGCTGTCCCTTGTCTTGTATGCAAAGGTAAGAAGTGTGACGGATATCATCTATCCTGTAATTGCCATGTAAATGTGTTATACTATAGTATCTATTCAATCACAGATAATATAGCAGTGGATGAGTGGTGTTAGTCAAGTCGATATCGGACGACCGGCTGAACGGTTGAACTCTACCTTCGGGGGAGGAAATGCCGAAAGGGCGGAAATATCGGTTCAATGGGCATATTTTTTTGTCCGAGCCCACGGGTTCGAAGATCCCATGTTAGGGTTGTCATGATTTGCCCTCTTCTGTCAAGTTCTAACGTTTGTATGTCGAACCTAATTTAGGACGACTTATTGCTTGTGTCAGTAGATCAGACCAGTTTTGGATTGACATGACCGCTAAGAAAGCACCTAGCAGACAGTTTTATGACATAGAGATCTGTTAGCTGTATGTATTGAGCTAATTCGCGATTCAAGAGATATCCCTTCCTGTCCTGATTTTCTCCCGATCTAAAATCTGACAGACACCAGCTCACAGAAGAGGGCAAGACTCCCTACACAGGGTGCTGCTTGTTACCGATATTTGATTAGTGATTATGCTGGAGCTGCCATTGCTACTGTTGCCTTAACAGAATGACATTATCACAAAGGATGACAAGATTCAAGTTACTGGACCACATAGCTTATGAGATGTGACGCCATGACGAGATACATGATGTGGACAAAGCCAGCAGACAGTTTGATCATTGTTTACTATTTAAACGTTTTGCATATATTTTCACTTTATTTACATATTTGTCAGTATGTTCAATGATTTGGTTAGTGACTGAAATAATCTCTTGTTTCCCGTTAGTTCTTTTCATCGATGTCAGGATTTCAAGATTTGATATTCAAAGCAGGTTGACGTCGAGCAATCGACCTTCGCCTATTTTGTCTGCCGGACCTGAGGTAAGCTGAATAAAGACTTTTATCAATCCATCATTATTAGTGTCTATTAATATTATTATTCAAATGATTCTTGTTACGCTGAATTTGTTTTATCATCAAATTCCGGGTAATAACCAAAGACCTTTGAGCAAACCAAAATTGCTTTTTTGCCTTTTCCACTTAATTAAACAAAGGACAATTACTAACAAAAAACTGAAATGGACAAAGTTCTTTGCTATATATTGTCTGTGCTTATCTATCTATATAATAATAAAAGTCTGTGATTGCGTGCTTGCGTGGTGCGTCGTCCGTCCAGCGCATATAGATTTAAGTTTCTTTCCGCCTCTGTCTTTTCACCTCTCTCTTTTCACCTCTCTCTTTGTACGTCTCTCTTTCCACATCTCTCTTTCCATCTCTCGTTTTCCACCTTTTTATCGTTCTCCCTCTCTCTCTCTTTCTCTATCTCTCTCTTTCCACGTTTTCTAACTTCCCACCTCTTTCTCTCTCTCCACCTCCCTCTCTTTCTCCCTCTCTCTTTACACCTCTCTCTTTTCGTTTCTCTCTTTCCACCTCTCTGTGATTGTGTACGTGCTTGAGTGGTGCGTCCTTCCAGCACATAATGATTTAAGTTTCTTTCCACCTCTTCCTTTCCACCACTCTCTCTCTCTCTCTTTTCACCTCTCTCTTTCCACCTCTCTGTCTTTACACCACTCTCTTTCCATTTCTTTCTTTCAACCTCTCTCCCTTTCTACCTCTCTCATTCCCCCTATCAGTCTTTCTACCTCTCTCTTTCCACCTCTTTCTTTTCATATCTCTCTTCCCGCCTTTCTATCTTTCCGTCTCTCACTTCCACCTCTCTCTCTTTCTCCCTCTCTGTGATTGTGTACGTGCTTGCGTGGTGCGTCCGTCCGGCGCATAATGATTTAAGTTTCTTTCCACCTCTTTCTTTCCACATCTCTCTCTTTTCATCTCTCTTTTTCCACCTCTCTATCTTTCCACCTCTCTCTTTCCACCTTTCTCCATTTCCAGCTCTCTCCCCTTCCATCTCACTCTTTCCACCTCTCTCTTTCTATCTTTCTCTTTCTATCTTTCTCTTTCCACTACTTCGTGATTGCATGCGTGCTTGCGTGGTGCGTCCGTCCGTCGCATAGTCATTTAAGTTTCTTTCCATATCTTTCTATCCACCTCTCTCTCTCTTAACACCTCTCTGTGATAGCGTGCATGCGTCCGTCCGTCCAGCGCATAATGATTAAAATTAATCTGATTTAAGTGAATAAGATTTAAAAATACGTATTTATACAGTAAGTATTTTTATTTTATCTTTCTTTAAAAAATTATTTTAATTTAAATGTTTTTAAGTTAAAGACAGAAACAAAGAGATCCCGCTTTGCCGTTTCTTCCAGTTTTTCGTAGATATTTATATTTCGGCTTTCTTTAAACAAACAGTATTTTAAATATTTAAAAAACCTTTTTTGCCATATTTAAAAAAATATTTTCACGTGAATATGATTTAAAATATTTTTTTGGAATGTTAAAAATATTTTTTTAACTTAATCTGTTAAATAATATCTTAAATGAATAAGAATTATAAATACGACTTGTTTTTACAGTATTTTTATTTCAACTTTCTGCAAACAGACAATTCTTTTAATGCTAAAATCAACTTCAATGTTTTAAGAGCTGAACCGTCAGTGACCCAACGGGTCACGGATAGTCTAGTTAGGACTATTTGTTTAATTTCCTGGAGATATTGTGAACTGAGGATTTTGTTGATTTCTTATTGAACACCCATCTTCTTCACACTAAAAGCACCAACTATAAAAGGAACGGATTTAAAGTGCCACTTGTTTTTCTATTACCAATCTACAGGTCTACAGTATCTATAAAAAGAATACCCGCTCGGCCCGGTAGCTGGGATCAAAGTGTAGTATCTGCGCTTTGTGAGCTGCCGGGTCGAGTGTCTGTCGAACTCTCTGCTTGCAGAGAGGATCCCGGACGAAGCTCCGCCGAAGGGTAGTGTTTCGTTGGGGGAGGTTGACGGAACTGGCCCGCCTCGGCGGGTTTGGATGGTTATTTATTTTTGGCTGGGCCTACGGGCTCAGAGATACCCACATTAAAAAGGCCTTGTGCCACATTCGTTCCCGTGGGTGGATTGATAAATACCATCTACAGGTCTTCAAAAACCATCACAGATTATTATTATTATCATTATTATTATTATTATTATTATTATTATTATTATTATTGTCGTTGTTGTTGCTGTTGTTGTTGTTGCTGCTGCTGTTGTTGTTGTTATTCCAGAAGTTGTTCGTGCAATTGAACTTTTAGTAACCCTTATTTCAATGTACAAACATTTTCTTGAATTTTATTGGTTGTTAAACAAATATAAGCTTCGAGAAATTTCATTAACAAACCAATCAAAATTTGTGCAAAAATTGGTTCATTTGACATCCCTAATTTAAATGTTTCAAGAAATCCTATTGGCTAAAACATAAAAAATACAATATTCGCCGACGCATTTCTCCAAAAAAGAAAAACTGCAAGAAGCTGCTGGAGTCTATTTTGTTGTTAAAAAAAAAAAAACTATGAATAGAAACAGCAAACGAATTTTCCTCGCACTTTGAGACTCACAAACGCAAAGATACACACGGGAATTATATGTCAAAATTGCTGCCAAAGAAACAAACTTCCTTTATGAGTGATTGGAAAAATTCATACAACAAAGTTTTTCACTTAATATCTTTCAGAGAAAAATCTTTTGTCTAAGTTCAATTCAACCTTTCAAGTAAAGGCAGACAACTTTTTAGACATTTCCGAAACAGCAAAGAACTTTTCCTCTATACCTTTGCACACATCATTACAAAAAAAGAAATTATAAATTGTATATATAAAATTTAATCTGTTGTTTCAAACATGTATTTTTTATCGTGATTGAATATCGTTACCATTCGGCCATTTCTTATAATTTATGTTTGTGGATATTGTATATTTTATTTGCAACACAATCTTAAATATTCAAGCATTATTCTTAGGTCTACTACGAACTCATTCTTTTTGGTGTTCTTATTGCATTAACTTTTCGGCCCATATATTTTGCGGTTGTCATTAAGTGTACAATCTATGAGCAAAGCATGATGTCTAATATAACGACTGGTTCCGTTCGTTTCCAGCAAGTCATATGCATGACGGTAAACTACATCCGTCAACAGGGCCTCTTAACGGGATATTTTGAGGAACATGGAACCACCTCATAATTGCTGTTGTCCCCAGATCCACCTTGACACGGGCGTTGTAGCACCTGTTAGGATGCCATCTATGGGTAAATAGTGAACCCCCTACTAAACAAAAAGATAATACTATGAATGTATAAAAATAAATATTTATAATAAAAATACGAGCAATAATTTTTTTTATAAAATCAAAAAATACCAACAGTACATTTTATCTGTAGATGAAGACATATAATTATGTTCCAGGTATATTTAGTTGAAGCCAAACAATTATATTTAAAATATTTAGATTTCGGAATTAAATAACTTATAGAATTTGAATTGTCGCTAAACAAAATCAACCAATGCAATGATATATAAACAGAATTACCAACAATACTTATTTATAGTAAAATTAATAACTACATTTTTCAAGCAAAATGACTAACAATACAATTTATATTAGATATAGTAAAATTATCAACATTACATTTTATAGTAAAATGACTAACAATACAATTTATATTAGGTATAGTAGAATTATCCACATTACATTTTATAGCAAAATGACTAACAATACATTTTATCTGTATTTGAAGACATATAATTACGTTCGAAATATACGTACTTGAGACCAAACAATAGTGTTAAAAATATTTAGATTTTGGCATTAAATATCGCACAGAGGCTGATATGCCGCTAAAAAAAAACAACCAACCAATCATTTCTATCGATCCACAACATACATGCAGAAACGTGTTTAGGAAATTATTTAATTTGATTCCATATTATTCCGTTAGCCTCAAGTACATTCATCCTGCAGAAGAAAGCGAAGAAAAAACCTACCCAGGTCTGTTTTAAACATTTGTGTGTTTCCTTCGATTTTCTCACTCTTCAATAATTCATTTGGACTCCATCAAAATGTTCTTTAGAGTACTAAAATCCCTCTAGATTAGTGTTTCTGAACCCTTTTTTTTACCCATGGACCACTTTTATTATTACTTTTTTTCTTTTTTTTTTCTTTTTTTTTTGTGGACGCACATCATCATTCGATGAAAAAAAAGCTCATTATAGTTTGTAATAATAGATAAGTTTAGGAATTGTATTATAGAAATAATAAATATATGTGCTTTATTTTAAAGTAGAACTAATTTAATGAAAATAAACTTGTATTTAACAGCTAAATTGCATGGAACATCTATACGCTAGTAAAATAACTGCTAATAAACAATTTTAAAATATGTGAGTAATTAAAAAATGTTTTAAAATGTGCAGATTTGTTCAATGAGATCACTGTGGTTGATGCTGCTCTGCGAGTTGTGTTTTATACATATATATATATATATATATATATATATATATATATATTCGCCTCCCTCGATGTCATTGATAGTTAAAGATCACCCCTTTTCGCAATATCGAGTCTATTAATGTTAATTAATCATATTAATAGTTAATTTTAAATTAATATTATAATTTATTATTAATATATATATATATATATTTATATAATAAATTATCATCTTTATAGAAATTTTCTTTTATATATATATATATATATATATATATATATATATAATCCCCTTCCTTTATATATACTTCTCAGTTTTTATTCAACATAACACCCAGTTGAGTAAAAGGGACGCTAACTTACATTAACTTGATGTCGTTTGTTGCTAGTTTTAAAGTTGTTGTTTTTTTTTCTGTTTTTAATATTTAAATATTGCGACGATTACTGTGAAATACTAATTCCCAATTCTAAAAGCAGTTCCGAAGTGAAATTGCTCTAGAGACCACTCATAAAGTAGATCCCCAATTTGCTATTTTTTTGTGTGGACCACCAGTAATATGACATGGACTCCCGGGATTATGTGGACCCCGGCTGAGAACAAATTCTCTAGATGTAGACAATTTTGTTCCCTTCGTACGTATGAATGAAGAATGATAATGAATTAAAATTAAACAATATACATACAATAAATAAGATTCATTAATAATAAACAAAATATTAATAATATTTAATATTTAATTACACTATTTACGTACGGACTATCGAACTCATCGTGTTGCTTTTATCGCGAAATTTCGACTGTTGTGCACTCCAGCATTCCTCACGTATATGTCGATCGGGGTAATCTACAAGAAATTCCACAGAAATTTGTCACATGGGATAATGGCTTAGTAAATTAAAACATTGGGTGACAAGGACCTCTTGGTCAAGATGTGACGTGCTTTTCTTTAATAAGATTTATCGGATGTTCTGGCCGGTAGGCGGAATAAAATACTGTTTCCAATAAACGGAACTTCTACTCAAATATTGGTATCCACTAAAAAAAAAAAAAAAAAAAAAAAATAAAACGTTTCAATAATAAAAAATATGTCGGATTAATTAATAAAAATCTTTTCTTTTTTTTTTTTTTTTTTTTTTTTTTGAGAATTTAATTTGTTTATGTTTTGTGTGAGGATCTGGGCAGTTATGACTTTAGAAGAAACCTAAACGAGTAATGTGTGCTTTAAAGACAAATAGAAAATTACCTCTTTAGTAAGTTCCTCGCAGCGTGGTCGGATCAAATGACGGTTTCTCCTACAAAGGGGAACATAGTTTCGACTCCTGTCAGAGGGCGCATTTTACTTTAATAAGATTTCTCGATTGTTCAGGCCGGTAGATAAAATAAAATACTGTCTAAAATAAACAGGTCGGCAACGCAAATATTGCTATCCAAAAATAACGTTTAAATATTAAATATTTATATGTGTGAGAGAGAGAGAGAGAGAGAGGTAGGCTAATTTATGTATCTATCTATTTTTGTTTTGATGAAATACAAGAGAAGCAAGGCAAATACTACTGTAAAAAAAAAAAATAAAAGACCAGTTTTGTTTTGGAAAAGGCGAAATTAGAATCACCGTTGTTGAGACAGTAAACCTTTCCAGTCGATCAATTTGTTATTTGCGACGACCTCGCCAGACCGGATGTAAAGATTAGAATCGTAATAGACAGACTCGAAGACACTAACAGCGTTCGCCTTTTCAACTTCCCTTCTTTATTTATTTTGTTTTTTGTTTCTTCATTCATTTTTATTCTTTGTTTGCCTTTCGCTTTGTTTTAAATTTATATTTGTTTGCCTTTTCATAATTCATTGCTTCATTTTTTTAACTTTTTTCCGTCTCGGCTTATTTTTCCCCTTTTTTAATCTCATTCACATTTTTTTTCATTCGTTTATCTTTCTAGATTTTTTATGTTTATTTTCACTTTCTTCTGATTTCGATCTTTCTTTTTCTTCCTTGTCTCGTTTTTCTTTTTTTTTTTTTTTTTTTCCTTAACAGAAATCAAAATGAAACGTACAGACGTTACATTTTCCTTTTAGTTCTTTCATTTCCGGTTTTTTTTTTCTTTTTTTTTTTCTCTTATTTCTTTCTCTTTTTCTTTTTCTTTTTTTATTTTTTGATGTCGATCTTCATTCGTGATTTCTTTCTTTTTCGTTTTATTTTCTCTTGTTTTTTTTTTCTTTCCTTAGTGCGTTTTTTTTTTCTTTTTTTTTTGTCTCATTTGTTTTATTTTTATTTTTATCGTTTAGTATTTTCTTGTTTTCTTTATTTATTTCTTGGTGAAGCATATTCTTGTTCTCAACTTGATTTCATTCTTCGTGCTTCCATTCATAATTTATTTCTTCTTCATTTATTTGTTGGTTTTCTTTTATTCTGCTCTTTCTTTCTTTTTCGATTCTTTCTTTCTTTCTACGTCTAGCTTCATCTTTTTTTGGAGTGGGGGGGGATTTGTTCTTTTTTACCATTTCTTTTTTTTTTTTTTTTTTTTTTTTTTTTTTTTTGGTTAAGGATTTTTTGTTCTTGATTTGATTTCATTCTTCGTGCTTGTCATTTCTTTCTTTCTTTCTCGTTTAATTTTCTTTATTTTAATATTGATTCTGTTTCTTCTTTCTTTTTCGAATCCGTGTTTTTTTGTTTGTTTGTTTTTTTCCTCTTTACTTTATCTTACAGGGTAACCCGGATATAAGAGAAACCCGGATATAAGACAAGAAATTCAGGAAGTGTATTGATATAGCAGCACCATCTGAAAGAAACACCTCCATAAGAATTATCGATAAATTGTCCAAATACAAAGATCGAAATTGACAGGATGCGGGGAATGAAGACCGAGATAGTACCTATAGTAATCAGAGCTCTGAGCCTCGTGAGAAAAGAAATGAAGAATTTTCCTAACAGTGTCCCAGGGAACATCAATATACAAGTTGCCCAGAAGATGGCCCTACTAGGAACATCCCATATACTAAAAAAAGTGCTATCAATTAAATGACAATTCTTCTATAGGGCCTAAGGATCATAGGTTGGGCCCTGCTCTACAGGATACAAAGCAGGAAACATAACATAACATGCACACATACTACTACTACTACTACTAATAATAATAATAATAATAATAAACTTAATAGTTAATACAGTGTAAGCCGGATATAAGACCCAAATATAAGAGAAACCCGGATATAAGAGAGATTTTCTCTGGTCCCAAATTAGAGGCTGTGTTAATGTATATAAAATAAACCAAACCCGGATATAAGAGAAACCCGGATATAAGAGACTTCTTCTCCGGTCCCGACAACTCTCTTATATCCGGGTTACCCTGTATTTCGTTTATTCTTTCTGTCCTTTTAGATCTAGCTTCTTCTTTTTCTTTTTTTTTTCTTTTTTCTTGTGGTGGAGATTTCTTCTTCTTTCTCGATTTCATTTTGTTCGTTCTTAACGTTCCTTCTTTCCCGTTTTCACTTCTTTGGTGCTTTGGTTTCGTTTTTTTTTTTTTTTTTATTTCCTCATATTTTTATTTTATTTTATCTGTTCTTTGTTCTTTAGATTTCGCTTGTTCCTTCTGAATTTTAAATGGATTTTATACTTTCTTTCTTTTCTTCCTTATTTAAACTTTTCTTTTTATCTTTATCTCTTCCGAAATAAAGAAAGAACGAAAGAAAGAAGGGGAATGAAGAACAAAACAAGGATTTCGTTCTTTAATTTATATTGCATTTCTTCTATTGAATACACCTGACATTCATGAGGCTTACTTTTTCTTTTTTTTTTTTTGACTTTTATCATTTGCTACTCCTTCCCTTTCATGTCTTTGTTGATTCTTTTTCTTCTCTACTTCGAGTTGTATAATTTTATTTACCTTCTTTTTTTCTCGTTCATGTTCTATTTGCCAATCTAGTTTTATGCTAGGGTCTTTAAGTCTTTATTTTTATTCTCTCTCTCTGTCTCAAGTGGAACTGGTATATACGAGACATCGCTAAAGACCTGTCTATACTTTTCGGAGATGTATTGTAACTACAGTGTAACCCGGATATAAGAGACCCGGATACAAGAGAAACCCGGACATAAGAGAGATTTTCTCTGGTGCCAAATTAGAGCCCATACTTATCTAAACAAAATAGACCAAACCCTGATATAAGAGAAACCCGGATATAAGAGACTTCATCTCCGGTCCCGACAACTCTCTTATATCCGGGTTACACTGTATTTACATTATTTTCTTTGTTCGGACTGTCTTGCACATCTTATAATATTCATGACGTTTCATGCACGCTCCGGCCTTCTTCAGGTGATATTCGTTGGAATTTCGAACAGAAACCTTTATTTAGTTTACGGGGGCAAATTGTTCTAGTTCCACGTGCCATACTCTTTCTGGATATCTCGGTTTTCAGTTAATTCCCTTTAATATCGCAAATCTCCAAGTTTTTTTTTGTTTTTTTTTTTTTTCATATCTCCTCTGGTCAGGTATCAATATTTTATCCAGAGGGCCATATGTTCCCAATGACAGAGTTGCCCAGTGGATAAAAGTGTTGGTGGAAGTAATCCAAAAGTGACTTGACCCAAACAGCTGCCAGTTGAATTTCTGTGTCCGGTTCAAAATTTCAACATTTATTACCTGAAGAAGACCGGAGCATACAACGGCCGAAACGTCGTGGATAGGACAATAAAGATGAGGAAGACAACCCGAACAAAGTAAATAGTGTAAATCGTTAAAGATATGAGAAAAATATCCAGGTTTTTGTACCACTCCAGAAAGTACCCGACTCATATTGTGATGCTCTATCTTTACAAGAGTCAGATGAGAGCCTCCAAAATGGAGTATTGCTGCCCTATCAGAGCTGAAGCTACCCAATCTTCCCATTCAAACCTTGACAGAGTTTACGCGGCTTTGTTAGTAATGAACTGTTTCCACTATACAATGTTTTTTATTACAGACGAAACGTTTCTAGGATCTCGCTACTCTCTCGTTATTGACATAACAAATGTTTGGGCAAGCTACAGTCTCAAAGAAATAAACAGATTGAATATATTTTGAGAGGAGACTCTAAACATCTTACAGTAATTAATTCTTTCCAAATTAAATTTAACAAAAAAACAACTAAACAAATCATATTGGAGTGCAGCGCAAAAATTATAATATTTATGAAAAAGTAGGAAATTCGTAAGAATGTAAAGAGAGAATAATCCGATATTAAAGAGAAAGATGGAAACACATAAGAATATAAAGAGAGGAGAGGCTGACATGGAAACGGAAGAAGGAAACGAGTAAGAATATAAAGAGAGGAGAGGCTGACATGGAAACGGAAGAAGGAAACGCGTAAGAATATAAAGAGTGGAGAGGCCGACATTAAAGAGGAAGTAAGAAACGCGTAAGAATATAAAGAGAGGAGGGGCTGACATGAAAGAGGAAGAAGGAAACGCTAAAGAATATAAAGAGAGGAGAGGCTGACATGGAAACGGAAGAAGGAAACGCGTAAGAATATAAAGAGAGGAGAGGCTGACATGGAAACGGAAGAAGGAAACGCGTAAGAATATAAAGAGAGGAGAGGCTGACATGGAAACGGAAGAAGGAAACGCGTAAGAATATAAAGAGAGGAGAGGCTGACATGGAAACGGAAGAAGGAAGGCTGCATGGAAAAAAAGAATATATAAAGAGAGGAGAGGCTGACATGGAAACGGAAGAAGGAAACGCGTAAGAATATAAAAGAGGAGAGGCTGACATGGGAAACGGAAGAAGGAAACGCGTGTAAGTAAGAATATAAAGAGAGGAGAGAGCTGACATGGAAACGGAAGAAGGAAACGCGTAAGAATATAAAGAGAGGAGAGGCTGACATGGAAAGAAGGAAGAAGGAAACGCTAAAGAATATAAAAGAGAGGAGAGGCTGACATGGAAACGGAAGAAGGAAACGCGTAAGAATATAAAAGAATATAAAGAGAGGAGAGGCTGACATAAAAACGGAAGAAGGAAAAGCGCTAAAGAATATAAACAGAGGAGAGGCTGACATGGAAACGGAAGGAGGGAAACATGGCGTAAGAATATAAAGAGGAGAGGCTGACATGGAAACGGAAGAAGGAAACGCGTAAGAATATAAAGAGAGGAGAGGCTGACATGGAAACGGAAGAAGGAAACGCGTAAGAATATAAAGAGAGAGAGGCTGACATGGAAACGGAAGAAGGAAACGCTGAAGAATATAAAAGGAGGAGAGGCTGACATTAAACGGAAAGAAGTAAACGCGTAAGAATATAAAGAATATGAAAGAGGAAGAAAAGAATATAAGAGAGGGCTGACATGAAAGAGGAAGAAGGAAACGGAGAGGCTGACATGGAAACGGAAGAAGGAAAGGAAAAATATAAAAAGAGGAGAGGCTGACATGGAAACGGAAGAAGGAAGAATAAAGAGAGGAGAGGCTGACATGGAAACGGGAAGAAGGAAACGTGTAAGAATATAAAGAGAGGAGAGGCTGACATGGAAACGGAAGAAGGAAACGCTAAAGAATATAAACAGAGGAGAGGCTGGACATGGAAACGGAAGGAGGAAACGCGTAAGAATATAAAAAGAGAGAGGCTGACATGGAAACGGAAGAAGGAAACGCTAAAGAATATAAAAGAGAGGAGGCTGACATGGAAACGGAAGAAGGAAACGCGTAAGAATATAAAGAGAGGAGAGGCTGACATGGGAAACGGAAGAAGGAAACTAAAGGGGCGTAAGAATATAAAAGAAAGAGAGAGGCTGACATGGAAACGGAAGAAGGAAACGCGTAAGTAAGAATATAAAAGAGAGGAGAGGCTGACATGGAAACGGAAGAAGGAAAACGCGTAAGAACTAAAGAATAGGAAAAGAGAGGAGAGGCTGACATGGAAACGGAAGAAGGAAACGCTAAAAGAAGAATATAAAGAGAGGAGAGGCTGACATGGAAACGGAAGAAGGAAACATGGCGTAAGAATATAAAAGAGAGAGGAGAGGCTGACATGGAAACGGAAGAAGGAAACGCGTAAGAATAAAGAATATATAAAACGGAGAGGAGAAGAATATGACATGGAAACGGAAGAAGGCGTAAGAATATAAAAGGAAGGCCGAATAAAGAGGAAGCAAGAAAGGCGTAAGACATGGAATGAAAGAGGATAAAGAGAGGGAGAGGCTGACATGGAAACGGAAGAAGGAAACGCGTAAGAATATAAAGAGAGGAGAGGCTGACATGGAAACGGAAGAAGGAAACGCGTAAGAATATAAAAGCGGAGAGGAGGAAGAGCTGAGCATGGAAACGGAAGAAGGAAACGCTAAAAGAATATAAAGAGAGGAGAGGCTGACATGGAAACGGAAGAAGGAAACGCGTAAACATAAGAATATAAAGAGAGGAGGAGGCTGACATGGAAACGGAAGAAGGAAACGTAAGAATATAAAGGAGAGGGGGACATGGAGAGAAGGACATGGAAACGGAAGAAGGAAGCAGCGTAAGAATATAAAAGAGAGAGAGGCTGACATGGAAACGGAAGAAGGAAACGCTAAAGAATATAAAGAGAGGAGAGGCTGACATGGAAACGGAAGAAGGAAACGCTAAAGAATATAAAGAGAGGAGAGGCTGACATGGAAACGGAAGAAGGAAACGCGTAAGAATATAAAGAGAGGAGAGGCTGACATGGAAACGGAAGAAGGAAACGCGTAAGAATATAAAGAGAGGCTGACATTAAAGAGGGGACATGGAAATAAAGAGAAGAAGGAAACGCCAAAGAAAGCTAGGAAAAGAATATAAAGAGAGGAGAGGCTGACATGGAAACGGAAGAAGGAAACGCGTAAGAATATAAAAGAGAGAGGCTGACATGGAAACGGAAGAAGGAAACGCGTAAGAATATAAAGAGAGGAGAGGCTGACATGGAAACGGAAGAAGGAAACGCGTAAGAATATAAAGAGAGGAGAGGCTGACATGGAAACGGAAGAAGGAAACGCTAAAGAATATAAAGAGAGGAGAGGCTGACATGGAAACAGAAGGAGGAAACGCGTAAGAATATAAAGAGGAGAGAGGCTGACAAACATGGAAACGGAAGAAGGAAACGCGTAAGAATATAATGGAAACGGGAAGAGGCTGACATGGAAACGGAAGAAGGAAACGCGTAAGAATAAAAAGAGAGGAGGAGTAAGAAAACGCTGACATGGAAAGAGGGAAGGAAAGGAAACGCTAAAGAATATAAAAGAGAGGAGAGGCTGACATGGAAACGGAAGAAGGAAACGCGTAAGAATATAAAAAGGAGGCTGACATGGAAACGGGAAGGAGGCGTAAGACATGGAAAGGCTGACATGGAAGAAGGAAAAGAATATAAAGCGTGGAAGAATATAAAGTAAGAGGAGAGGGGCTGACATGGAAACGGAAGAAGGAAGGACACGGAAACGTAAGAATATAAAATATAAGGAGAGGCTGACATGGAAACGGAAGAAGGAAACGCGTAAGAATATAAAGGAGAGGCTGACATGGAAACGGAAGAAGGAAGGCTGACATGGAAACGGTAAGAATATAAAGAGAACATAAATAGAATATAAAGAGAGAGGCTGACATGGAAATGGAAGCTAAAGAAGGAGGAACGCTAAAGAATATAAAGAGAGGAGAGGCTGACATGGAAACGGAAGAAGGAGAACATGGAAACGGAAGAATATAAAGAGAGGAGAGGCTGACATGGAAACGGAAGAAGGAAACGCGTAAGAATATAAAAGAGAGGAGGAGGCTGACATGGAAACGGAAGAAGGAAGGCAGCTAAACGGAAGAGGAAATAAAAGAGAGGAGAGGCTGACATGGAAACGGAAGAAGGAAACGCGTAAGAATATAAAGAGGAGAGGCTGACATGGAAACGGAAGAAGGAAACGCGTAAGCTGAAAATAAGAAATATAAAGCAAAGGAGGAGGCTGACATGGAAACGGAAGAAGGAAACGCGTAAGAATATAAAGAGAGGAGGCTGACATGGAAACGGAAGAAGGAAAGGACGCTACGTGAAGAAGAATATAAAACAGAGGAGAGGCTGACATGGAAACGGAAGGAGGAAACGCGTAAGAATATAAAGAGAGGAGAGGCTGACATGGAAATGGAAGAAGGAAACGCGTAAGAATATAAAGGAGAGGCTGACATGGAAACGGAAGAAGGAAGCAGCTAAAGAATATAAAAGAGGAGAGGCTGACATGGAAACGGAAGAAGGAAACGCGTAAGAATATAAGAGAGGGAGAATATAAGGACATGACATGGAACGGAAGAAGGAAGCGCGTAAGAATATGAGAGAGAGGCTGACATGGAAACGGAAGAAGGAAATGCTAGCAATATAAAAGAGAGAGGCTGACATGGAAACGGAAGAAGGAAATGCGTAAGAATATAAAAGAGGAGAGGCTGACATGGAAACGGAAGAAGGAAACGCGTAAAGAATATAAAAGAGAGGAGAAGCTGACATGGAAACGGAAGAAGGAAAGCTAAGAATATAAAGGAGGGGCTGACATGGAAACGGAAGAAGGAGCAACTAAAGAATATAAAGAGAGAGAGGCTGACATGGAAACAAAGAAGGAAATGCTAAAGAATATAAAAGAGAGAGGCTGACATGGAAACGGAAGAAGGAAATGTGTAAGAATATAAAGAGAGAGGGCTGACATGGAAAGGAAGGGAAGAAGGAAACTGACATGGAAACGGAAGAAAATATAAAAAGAGAGGAGAGGCTGACATGGAAACGGAAGAAGGAAGCGCGTAAGAATATAAAGAGAGGAGAGGCTGACATGGAAACGGAAGAAGGAAACGCGTAAGAATATAAAGAGAGAGAGGCTGACATGGAAACGGAAGAAGGAGCAGCGTAAGAATATAAAAGAGATTGGAGAGGCTGACATGGAAACGGAAGAAGGAAACGCGTAAGAATATAAAAAAAGAGGGGAGAGGCTGACATGGAAACGGAAGAAGGAAACGCTAAAGAATATAAAGAGAGGAGAGGCTGACATGGAAACGGAAGAAGGAAATGCGTAAGAATATAAAGAGAGGAGAGGCTGACATGGAAACGGAAGAAGGAAATGCTAAAAAGAATATGGGAGAGAGGAGGGGCTGACATGGAAACGGAAGAAGGAAACGTAAGAATAAGAGAGGAGAGGCTGACATGGAAACGGAAGAAGGAAACGCTAAAGAATATAAGAGAGAGGAGGCTGACATGGAAATGGAAGAGAGGAAATGCGGCATTATAAAAGAGAGAGGCTGACATGGAACGAAGAAGGAAAATGTAAGAATATAAAGAGAGGAGAGAAGGACATGAAATTTGAAGAAGGAAATGTAAGAATATAAAGAGAGGAGAGGTTGATATGGAAATGCAAGAAGGGAAATGTAAGAATATAAAGAGAGGAGAGGTTGACATGGAAACGGAAGAAGGAAACGTGTAAGAATATAAAGAGGAGAGGCTGACATGGAAACGGAAGAAGGAAACGCGTAAGAATATAAAGAGAGGAGAGGTTGACATGGAAGAGGAAGGAAACGCATAAAGAAAGAGAGGCTGACATAAAGAAGAAAGAATGAAAGCGGAGAGGGAAAAGAGGAAAAGAAACGCGTAAAGAATATAAAGAGAGGAGAGGCTGACATGGAAACGTAAAGAATATAAAGAAGAAGGAAATGGAAACGGAAGAAGGAAATAAGAATATAAAGAGAGGAGAGGCTGACATGGAAACGGAAGAAGGAAACGCGTAAGAATATAAAGAGAGGAGAGGCTGACATGGAAACGGAAGAAGGAAACGCTAAAGGAGAGGCTGACATGGAAAGAGAGGAGAGGCTAAAGAATATAAAGAGAGGAGAGGCAAAGAGACATGACATGGAAACGGAAGAAGGAAACGCGTAAGAATATAAAGAGAGGAGAGGCTGACATGGAAACGGAAGAAGGAAACGCGTAAGAATATAAAGAGAGGAGAGGCTGACATGGGAAACGGAAGAAGGAAACGCGTAAGAATATAAAGAATGGAGAGGCTGACATGGAAACGGAAGAAGGAAACGCTAAAGAATATAAGAATATAAAGAGAGGAGAGGCTGACATGGAAACGGAAGAAGGAAACGCTAAAGAATATAAAAGAGGAGAGGCTGACATGGAAACGGAAGAAGGAAACGCAAAAGAATATAAAAGAATATAAAGAGGAGAGGCTGACATGGAAACGGAAGAAGGAAAAAAGAATATAAAGAGACATGGAAAACGGAGAGGCGCGTAAGAATATGGAAACTGACATGGAAGAAGGAAACGCTAAAAGAATATAAAGAGAGGAGAGGCTGACATGGAAACGGAAGAAGGAAAAGAGGAGAATGGAAAACGGGAAGAAGGAATATAAAGAGAGGAGAGGCTGACATGGAAACGGAAGAAGGAAACGCGTAAGAATATAAAAGAGAGGAGAGGCTGACATGGAAACGGAAGAAGGAAACGCGTAAGAATATAAAGAGAGGAGAGGCTGACATATAAAACGGAAGAAGGAAACGCTAAAGAATATAAAGAGAGGAGAGGCTGAATTAAAGAGGAAGAAGAAAACGCGTAAGAATATAAAGAGAGGAGAGGCTGACATGGAAACGGAAGAAGAACGCAAAAGAATATAAAGAGAGGAGAGGAAGGACATGGAACGGGAAGAAGGAAATAAAGAATATAAAGAGAGGGAGAGGCTGACATGGAAACGGAAGAAGGAAACGTAAGAATATAAAGAGAGGAGAGGCTGACATGGAAAACGGAAGAAGGAAACGCTAAAGAATATAAAAGAGAATATGGAAACGGAAGAAGGAAAAAGAATTAAAGAGAGGAGAGGCTGACATGGAAACGGAAGAAAACGCTAAAAGAATATAAAAAGAGAGGCTATGGAAACGGAAGAAGGAAACGCGTAAGAAATAAAGAGGAGAGGCTGACATGGAAACGGAAGAAGGGCTAAAGAAGGAAGAGGCTGACATGGAAACGGAAGAAGGAAATAAGAATATAAAGAGAGGAGAGGCTGACATGGAAACGGAAGAAGGGCTAAAGAATATAAAGAGAGAGAGGAAACGGAAGGGAAGAAGGAAAGAGGCTGACATGGAAACGGAAGAAGGAAACGCGTAAGAATATAAAGAGAGGAGAGGCTGACATGGAAACGGAAGAAGGAAACGCTAAAGAATATAAAGAGAGAGAGACATGGAAACGGAAGAAGGAAACGCTAAAGAATATAAAGAGAGGAGAGGCTGACATGGAAACGGAAGAAGGAAACGCGTAAGAATATAAAGAGAGAATATAAAAAGGAAGAAGGAAACGTAAGAAATAAAGAGGAGAGGCTGACATGGAAACGGAAGAAGGAAACGCGTAAGAATATAAAAAGAGAGGCTGATGGAAACGGAAGCTGACAAAATAAAAAGAGGAGAAACATGGAAAGAAGGAAACGTAAGAATATAAAGAGAGGAGAGGCTGACATGGAAAACGGAAGAAGGAAACGCGTAAGAATATAAAGAGAGGAGAGGACATGAAACGGAAGAAGGAAACGCTAAAGAATATAAAGAAGGAGAACATGGAAACGGAAGAATATAAAGAGAGGAGAGGCTGACATGGAAACGGAAGAAGGAAACATAAGAATATAAAGAGAGAGAGGCTGACATGGAAACGGAAGAAGGAAACGCGTAAGAATATAAAGACATGGAAACGGAAGAAGGGCTAAGAACATGGAAGAGGCTGACATGGAAACGGAAGAAGGAAACGCTAAAGAATATAAAGAGAGGAGAGGCTGACATGGAAACGGAAGAAGGAAACGCGTAAGAATATAAAGAGAAGAGAGGCTGACAGGAAAGGAAGAAGGAAACATGGAGGCTGAATGGAAACGGGAAGAAGGAAACGCGTAAGAATATAAAGAGAGGAGAGGCTGACATGGACGGAAGGAAACGGAAGAATATAAAGGAAACGCGCTGACATGGAAAGAATATAAAGAATATAAAGAGGAGAGGCTGACATGGAAACGGAAGAAGGAAAACGCGTAAGAATATAAAGAGAGAGATGACATGGAACGGGAAAAGAAAGCGTAAGGAGAGGCTGACATGGAAACGGAAGAAGGGCTAAAGAATATAAACAGAAGAGGCTGAGATGGGAAACGGGAAGAAGGAATAAGAATATAAAGAGGAGAGGCTGACATGGAAACGGAAGAAGGAAACGCGTAAGAATATAAAGAGAGAATATAAACGGAAGAAGGAGAGGCTGAGGAAATAAAGAGAGGAAATGGAAGAAGGAAACGCGTAAGAATATAAAGAGAGGAGAGGCTGACATGGAAAACGGAAGAAGGAAACGCGTAAGAATATAAAAGAAGGAAAAAGAGAGGAGAGGCTGACATGGAAACGGAAGAAGGAAACGCGTAAGAATATAAAGAGAAAGAATACGGGAAGAAGGAAAAGAGAATATAAAGAGAGGAGGCTGACATGGAAACGGAAGAAGGAAACGCAAAAAGAATATAAAGAGAGGAGAGGCTGACATGGAAACGGAAGAAGGAAAACTAAAGAATATAAAAAGAATATAAACAGAGGAGAGAGGCTGACATGAAAACGGAAGAGGAAACTGACATGGAAAAGAATATAAAGAGAGGAAGGAAGAAGGAAACGCCAAAGAATATAAAGAGAGGAGAGGCTGAAGAAACGGAAGAAGGAAACGCTAAAGAATATAAAGAGAGGAGAGGGACATGGACATGGAAACGGAAGAAGGAAACGCGTAAGAATATAAAGAGAGGAGAGGCTGACATGGAAACGGAAGAAGGAAACGCTAAAGAATATAAAGAGAGGAGAGGCTGACATGGAAACGGAAGAAGGAAACGCGTAAGAATATAAAGAGAGGAGAGGCTGACATGGAAACGGAAGAAGGAAACGCTAAAGAATATAAAGAGAGGAGAGGCTGACATGGAAACGGAAGAAGGAAACGCGTAAGAACATAAAGAAAGGGAAGAAGGAAACGCGTGTAAGAATATAAGAAGAGGAGATGACATGGAAACGGAAGAAGGAAAAAGAACATAAGAGGAGAGGCTGACATGGAAATGGAAGAAGGAAACGCGTAAGAATATAAAGAGAGGAGAGGCTGACATGAAGAAGGAAGCAAGAATATAAAGAGAGAGAGGCTGACATGGAAACGGAAGAATATAAAGAATATAAAGAGAGGAGAGGCTGACATGGAAACGGAAGAAGGAAACGTAAGAATATAAAGAGAGAGAATGGAAACGGAAGAAGGAACGCGTAAGAATATAAAGAGAGGAGAGGCTGACATGGAAACGGAAGAAGGAAACGCGTAAGAATATAAAAAGAGGAGAGGCTGACATGGAAACGGAAGAAGGAACGCGTAAGAATATAAAAGAGAGGAGAGGGACATGGAAACAAGAAGGAAAGAGTAAGAATATAAAAGAGAGGCTGACATGGAAACGGAAGAAGGAAACGCTAAAGAATATAAAGAGAGGAGAGGCTGACATGGAAACGGAAGAAGGAAACGCGTAAGAATATAAAGAGAGGAGAGGCTGACATGGAAACGGAAGAAGGAAACGCGTAAGAATATAAAGAGAGGAGAGGCTGACATGGAAACGGAAGAAGGAAACGCGTAAGAATATAAAGAGAGGAGAGGCTGACATGGAAACGGAAGAAGGGAAAGAAATAAAGAGAGGAGAGGCTGACATGGAAATAAAGAATATAAAGAGAGGAGAGGCTGACATGGAAACGGAAGAAGGAAACGCGTAAGAAATAAAGAGAGGAGAGGCATGACGGGAAGAAGGAAACGCTAAAGAATATAAAGAGAGGGAAGAAGGAAAAGGCGTAAGAATATAAAGAGAGGAGAGGCTGACATGACATGGAACGGAAGAAGGAAAACGACATGGTGGAAGAAGAATATAAAAAGAGAGGAGAGGCTGACATGGAAACGGAAGAAGGAAACGCTAAAGAATATAAAGAGAGGAGAGGCTGACATGGAAACGGAAGAAGGAAACGCGTAAGAATATAAAGAGAGGAGAGGCTGCCATGGAAACGGAAGAAGGAAACGCGTAAGAATATAAAGAGTGGAGAGGCCGACATTAAAGAGGAAGAAGGAAACGCGTAAGAATATAAAGAGTGGAGAAGGGTAAGAATATAAAGAGAGGAGAGGCTGACATGGAAACGGAAGAAGGAAACGCTAAAGAATATAAAGATGGAAAAGAAGAAGGGAAACGCGTAAGAATATAAAGAGAGGAGAGGCTGACATGGAAACGGAAAAGAGGAAGAATATAAAGAGAGGAAACATGGCGAAGAAGGAATAAGAATAAAGAGAGGAGAGGGCTGACATAAAGAAAGAGGCTGACATGAAAACGGAAGAAGGAAACGTAAGAATATAAAGAGAGGAGAGGCTGATGACATGGAAAACGGAAGAAGGAGAACTGACATGGAAAACGGAAGTAAGAAATATAAAGAGAGAGAGGCTGACATGGAAACGGAAGAAGGAAACGCGTAAGAATATAAAGAGAGGAAGAATGGAAACGGAAGAAGGAAATAAGAAAAGAGAGGAGAGGCTGACATGGAAACGGAAGAAGGAAACGCGTAAGAATATAAAGAGAGGAGAGGCTGACATGGAAACGGAAGAAGGAAACGCGTAAGAATATAAAGAGAGAGGAAACGGAAGAAGGAAACGCGTAAAGAATATAAAGAGAGAGAGGCTGACATGGAAACGGAAGAAGGAAACGCGTAAGAATATAAAGAGAGGAGAGGCTGACATGGAAACGGAAGAAGGAAACGCGTAAGAATATAAAAGAGAGGAGAGGCTGACATGGAAACGGAAGAAGGAAAAGCGTAAGAATATAAAGAGAGAGAGGAGGAAAACGGAAGAAGGAAACATGGAAACGGAAACGGAAGAAGGAAATATAAAGAATATAAACAGAGGAGAGGCTGACATGGAAACGGAAGAAGGAAAAGAAGAATATAAAGAGAGGAGAGGCTGACATGGAAACTAAAGAAGAAGGAAGGCTGACATGGCGTAAGAATATAAAGAGAGGAGAGGCTGACATGGAAACGGAAGAAGGAAACGCGTAAGAATATAAAGAGAGGAGAGGCTGACATGGAAACGTAAGGAAGAAGGAAACGGGAAGAAGGAAACGTAAGAATATAAAGAGACATGGAGAGGCTGACATGGAAACGGGAAGAAGGAGAGGCTGACATGGAAACGGTAAGAAGGAAACGTAAGAATATAAAGGAGAGGAGATGGAAACGGAAGAAGGAAACGCGTAAGAATATAAAGAGAGGAGAGGCTGACATGGAAACGGAAGAAGGAAACGCGTAAGAATATAAAAGAGGAGACATGGAAACTGACATGGAAACGGAAACGGAAGAAGAAACGCGTAAGAAATAAAAAGAGTGGAGAGGCCGACATTAAAGAGGAAGAAGGAAACGCGTAAGAATATAAAGAGAGGAGAGAGGCCGAAAAGAATTAAAGAGGAGAGTGAAAACGGAAGAAGGAAACGTAAGAATATAAAGAGAGGAGGGCTGACATGAAGAAGGAAAACGGAAGAAGAGAGGAGAGGCTGACATGGAAAGAATATAAAGAATATAAAGAGAGAGAGGCTGACATGGAAACGGAAGATGGAAACGGAAGAATATAAAAGGAGAAATTAAAGAGGAAGAAGGCGTAAGAATAAAAAGAATATAAAGAGAGGAAAGAGGCGTAAGAATATAAAGAGAGTGAGAGGATGACATGGAAACGGGAAGAAGGAAACGCAAGAATATAAAGAGAGAATATAAAGAAGAAGGAAAGTAAGGAGGCTGCCATGGAAACGGAAGAAGGAAACGCGTAAGAATATAAAAGAGGAGAGGCTGACATTGGAAAGGCGTAAGAATATAAAGAGAGGAGAGGCTGACATGAAAGAGGAAGAAGGAAACGCTTAAGAATATAAAGAGAGGAGAGGTTGACATGGAAACGGAAGAAGGAAACGCGTAAGAATATAAAGAGAGGAGAGGCTGCCGTAAGAATATGGAAACGGAAGAAGGAAAATAAAGAATATAAAGAGAGGAGAGGCCATGGAAACGAAAAAATATAAAGGAGAGTGGAGACGGAAGAAGGACATTAAAGAGGAAGAAGGAAACGCGTAAGAATATAAAGAGAGGAGAGGTTGACATGGAAACGGAAGAAGGAAACGCGTAAGAATATAAAGAGTGGACACTCAGACATTAAAGAGGAAAGATGGAAACGTGAAAGACTATAAAGAGAGGAGAGCCGACATTAAAGGTTAAGCCATGGAAACATGGGGGGAAGAAGGAAACGCAAGTAAGAATATAATGAAACGGAAGAAGAAAGGAGAAATGTAGAATATGAATATAAGGAGAGGACAGGAGAGGTCGACATTAAAAAGGATAAATGAAACGCCTAAGAATATGAGGACTGGGTATTTGACATTAAAGAGGAAGGAAGAATACACTAACTTGAGTGGCTCTTGTATTGGATAAACAAATTATTTTACTATTGATTATTTCTTACTACCTTTTCTTCTCTTCATTCTCTTCATTATTTCAACATTTCGTTTATTTTTTCATTCTCTCTATTTATTACTATTTTTCATTAACCCCTCACCCTCACATTTTTTCCTTTTTATTTTTCATTCATTTTTTTTCGTTCTCTTCATTAAATTCTATCCATTTTTCATTCATTTACTCATTGACTTCATTATGTTCTTTCTACTCTTCATTCATTTTTTTTCTTTCTCTCCATTCTTTCGATTCTACTTTTATTTTATTTTTTCTTTCTCTCCATTCTTTTCGTTCTACTTTCCATTCTTTTTTTCTTAATCTTTACTCCTTCATTCCTTCTTCATCCTTATTTATTCATCTCTTATTTTTCGCCATTCCTTTCTTCTTAGTCTTCATATTTATTCCTTCCTTTGATTCTATGCTTTTCTCTCTTCTGTTCTTTTTCATTCATTCATTTTTTTCCACCATTTTCTCACATTCCTACTTTTCCTTGTTCTTCTTTCTTCTTTTCATCTGTTTCCTCTAACGCCTCACCTAATCCTCCCCCACTTTATTTCTTTCCTCGTTTTTTCCTTCTTTTGACCACTTTCATTCATTTTATCTCCCTTTATTCTTTTTCCTTTACTTCATCCCTATTCTTTCATTCTTTCTATTATTTTCTTTCTCTCACCTTTCTTTTTTTTCCGTTCTTTCATCTTTTCTTCAAACCCTAACATTACATTTCACATCTTTATATTTCTTTCTATTTCTTCCTCTTATCTGTCCCGACTGACTTTTTGTTCTTCCCTCTTAACTAAATTCGACCGCCCAGATATTTTCATTTGAAACATCGATCTCTTTCAACCATTTTTCAATCATTTTCTTTCTTCACTTTACGCGATCACACTAACTTGGGAATCATAAGAATTTCGAAAGTTTTACTTCCCGTTTCATAAAATACGCTATTTTTTTTTTTCCTTTTATTACTAATTTAATATAAGTGGATTATATTAAGATAAATTCGTTCAGCTCCATTCATTAATCATATTTAATCAATTTATCTCCTTTAAATAATTACCAAGCAACGATCCTTAACATTCTGAATAGTTAAGAATGTGATGTGTCGCCTTACGTTCTTTCTATTTTGAATGTATTTAAATTTAAGCAAATGCAAAACATCGGTTTGAGATGTACTGTGATAGCTGCCGCATTAGCATGTATTTTTAAATTAACAACTCGGGTAATTTTCCTTATCTATATTAACATTTCTTAAATCATTTCACCCCAAGCAAAGCAATAAAGTCACTAAGATGCAAGCGGTTACTGAGTGGGAAATAAAAATAATTAAAAGAAAAACATTATTAAAGAAAGATAACAATAAAATGCATTGGTAGTTCAGCTGTTAAGAAAATTGGATAACTGCTGTTCTAGATAATGTTTCTCCCCTGGATCTATCTTGAATATTTACAAGTTTACCATTCGTCAATGCTTAGAATATTGTTGCCACATATGGTCTGGTGCTCTCCCTATATATATATATAGATACTTGATAAAATATTCTTACCGCCGTCAAGTTGCTTCACCATGTCTTTTCTATAAATACTTTCATGACAACTGCTCGAATGAGCTCTTCGCCATAGTTTTTGTTTAAATAAAAAGAACAAAAATTAAGACGACAAAAGATATTGATTGACGTTGAATTTAAATTTTTGAAAACCAAATTTGAATGGAAAGTAACTGACCGGAAGAGAGTTCCACACGCAAGAAGTGCGAGGGACAAAAGTAAAAGAGGATAACAACACAGAAAACAGCTTCAGTTTACCTACCCTATGTGAAGGGATTATCGGAGAAAATGCAAAACATCTGTCGTCCATATAGCATAAGAATAATCTACAAACGTGGTTCAAAAATTGCAGTTAATACACCCATCCATAGTGGAGAACACTATAAGAACTGTGTGTACGCCATCTCGTGCAGCTGGTAAGAAATATAAAGGAGAAACAGGCCGACTCTTTAAGGAAAGACAAAGAACATCGTAAAGTGGTAACACGAGGGGAAATAGAAAAATCATGCGTAGCTGACCACTTAATGGGATCAACAAAGAAAAATAATAGACAGAGAACATTATTGAAAATACGAAAACTTAAGGAATCAGCACATATGCTAGGCCACAAAGATTCTCTGAGCCGACCAAACACAGAAATGAATACAATATGGGAACAGTAATAAGCAGTGGTAGAGAAAAGCAATGAATAACAACACAAAAATTGCAGTTTAAGCTCTAATAAAAAAATATGTAATAATAATAACGGAAAATGCTTAGAATATTGTTGCCACATATGGTCTAGTGCTCTCCCTATATATCTAGAGATCCTTGATAAAATATTCCTACCGCCGTCAAGTTGCTTCCCCATGTCTTTTCTATAAATACTTTCATGACAACTGCTCGAATGAGCTCTTCGCCATAGTTTTTGTTACTTAATATTGTATCTACACATTTTGGGTTCTAAGTTCTTGTTTTATTCCTCCCACCAAAGACAATGAATTGTGCATATGAGGACTAGTTAGTACTTTCATAGAGACAATTAGGTATTATTGTGATTGTAGTGAGAAAGGTAAGCAAGAATGCGTTGTTTTGGTGTAAAGAATATTGTTGTATGTTTGGGTCAGTGTTTGTGGCTAGCTAAGTTCAACGTTAAGACAAAATGTTGTAACCTAGAAAGGGTTACTGAATGAGGAATAACCAAAACGGAGGTTGGAATGGAATAGTAATCTTTATAGCATCAACAAAATACAATAATTCTCCAGCGTCGTGATTGAAGGTAAACCATTGCTAGTGGTTTTTACTTTTAACAGCATTTACCCCAACTTACAATAGTGCTCTGTAGTGTTTATGAGGATTGGGATAAACACATTAGTGTTTTATTTTAAGCAAATATATAACATAGAAGATCTTCCTTTCCCATCCCCCATTTTGGTCTTGTGCCATATTTTCTGTATTGAAGCGGAAATAAATATTGCTCTTCGCCATGGTACTAAGACCTTTTTAAATTTAACCAGAGTATTAGACTGGCGACGATGTCTCATCAATTTAGAGTTGAGCTGGCTAGATGTAACCGTAAGTTATATTCTAGCAGTTTCTTTTTCTCGTACTTCTCTCTTGTCGAACTCTCTTCCTATCCCATGCTTTTCAGTTAAGTTTAATCTCCAAAAATTTAAATCAATGTCAATCGCTTTCTACTGCCCAACTGATTACTCTTTTTTTGATTGATTTCTTAGTAAAATTTCTGTTGTCTAATTTTTCAGACTCAGTAACCCCTTAAGTCTTAGTGGCTTTACTGCCTTGTTTGGGGTGAAATTGCTTTTTTAAAAAAAAGAACAAAAATTAAGTCGGCAGAAGATATTGATTGACATTGAATTTAAATTTTTGAAAACCAAATTTGAATGGAAAGTAACTGACCGGAAGAGAGTTCCACACGCAAGAAGTGCGAGGGACAAAAGTAAAAGAGGATAACAACACAGAAAACAGCTTCAGTTTACCTACCCTATGTGAAGGGATTATCGGAGAAAATGCAAAACATCTGTCGTCCATATAGCATAAGAATAATCTACAAACGTGGTTCAACAATTCGCAGCCACCTCTTCCGAGTAATACACCCATCCATAGTGGAGAACATGACTAAGAACTGTGTGTACGCCATCCCGTGCAGCTGTGGTAAGAAATATAAAGGAGAAACAGGCCGACTCTTTAAGGAAAGACAGCAAGAACATCGTAAAGTGGTAACACGAGGGGAAATAGAAAAATCATGCGTAGCTGACCACTTGTGGGATCAGGTTAAAATAATAGACAGAGAACATTACTGGAAAATACGAAAACTTAAGGAATCAGCACATATGCTAGGCCACAAAGATTCTCTGAGCCGATCAAACACAGAAATGAATACAATATGGGAACCAGTAATGAGTGGTAGAGAAAAGCAATGAATAGCAACACAAAAATTGCAAGGTAATCTCTTGTAAAAATATGTAATAATAAAAACGGAAAAATTGCAATATGGGCACTGGTAAAAAATAGTTACAGAAGTAGTGAACGAAAGAACTTGCATACTTAAAGGGAAATAAGTGATACATCAGGAGGTGGCACTAAGTGGACGAGATAAAGCGTTCAGTTAGAAATTCCAATCACCTGGAGAAGGCCGGAGAGTATAAAGGTGTGAATATGGCAATGAGGATAACAGTCCGAATAATACAAATTACGAAAACTTCATTTTTAAAACCTAAAATAAACTAGATAATTAACGATTTTTATTGAACTTTTCATAAATTACTCAATAAATTGATTTTTTTTAAGCGTTTCACCCCAGACAAGGCGGGAAGCCACTAGCACCCAAGGGGTTACAGAGAGTTTGAGCGAGAGCAAATAGGAGTGATAGAGGAAAGGACGAAGAGAAGGATAGGGGATAGATAAAGGCATCTGGAGACGTCGATTGACATTACATTTGAATAGTTGGAGATTATAGCTATCAGAGAAACAGGAGAAGGAGAGGGAGTTACACAGGCGAGAAGTGCGTGAAATGAAGTTATTGGAGTAGAAGAGACGGCTACATTTAACAATTTCGACATTGAAAGGGTGTGAGCGAGATGCCAGACTAGTAGAACGCTTAAATTCATGAAGTCTGAGCACCAGCGAAAGCAGCTCATCGGAGCAGTTACCATGAAAGTATTTGTAAAAAAGACAGAGGGAGGCAACGGCACGTCTGACAGAGAGCGACTGCAGACGAGATGCCAGATCCAGGCCAATTACATTGCATATCCGTTTCCGGACCATATATGGCAGCAATACTCCATGCAAGGGCGAATGGTTGATTTGTAGATTTGAAGGATCGACTCCGGCGAAAAAAAATTCCTGGCGCGGCACAGGGAGCCAACCTTCCTTCCGATGGACGAAGCTATTGACTCAATGTATTTGTTCCAACTCAGGTCAGCAATCAATTTGAGACCGTGTAGTCGCAAAGTGGAGCTCTCAAGAAGTTGAGCGTCAGACATTCTAATGGGCGAAGGGATGGTTCTCTCTGGTGAGTAATAGAGAGCAGTTTTGTTTTTGAGACGTTAATGTTAACCAGCCAATTCCTGCCCAAGTTCACATTAGATTTGTTTTTGAGGCAGGAGTAAACTGTAGTGCCATCCGCGTAGATGCCTACTTGGGAATCTATGACGTCAGGAAGATCGTTGATGAAGATAAGGGCCTAAGATGTAGCCTTGGGGAAAACCTGCGTTCATGGGTTAAGAACTAGAGGAGAATCCGTTGAGAATGACATTCAATACACGGTTTGACAGGAATGATTGTATTAAGTCAAACAATCGACCTGAAATTCCATAACCCTGAAGCTCGCGAAGAAGACCGGCATGCCAAACCCTATCAAATGCTTTGGAGATATCTAGAGCCACGGCTCGAGCTTCTCCGTTATTATGAAGGGCTTGATAAGCAATTTCAATGATGGCCGTAAGCACATCAGCTGTAGAACGGGCAAAGCGGAAACTATATTGCTTTTATTTGATTTGTTTCAGTTTTTTTAATTTTTATAGAAATATTTTGGGTTATGTCATTGAATTAAAATATACATTGCACTCACACAGGAACATGTTGAATGAAATTAAAATCGATATCTGTGTTGCGAGAGCTAATTTCCCCTTTTTTATATAGAAATAGTGTCATTCCCAACACTTGAGTTTGAACATAGACCGCCACTGAACAAACACAAACGACGCCATTATTGAATTAAGTAACCCACGTGCGATTACAAAGTCTCTACTACAACGAGTATTACGAAAGTGACAATAAGTATCGGTTGGTATTACCAAAGTGGCAACGAGTGTTCGTTGACATCACAAAACTTTTTTTTTTGCCTAACAAAATCTATTGAGTAAAAGAAAAGAAATATAACCGAAAATTTGAAGTCATTTTAAAAAATAATTGTAGTTAAACGGAATATGAATCTCGAATAAATGTATTTTAACTGGACAAAAAAAAGTTACATTTGAAATTTGATCATTTTGCCGTCGTGTAGCGATATTTCTTACGTGCTGTTTCCGTTCAGGACGTAGGCGATCATGGCTCTCCACTTCTCCATATCCCTTGTAGTTCTCAATATGTTTTGTGCTTTTGTTACTTCACCCACACCCCGTTCTGTCATCCAGTTGCTTAAGCCCGCTGGGTATGTCACCGCGTTGCTTTCTCTTATGTCTATTTCCCCTTTACCGGCCCTGTGAGTATCAAATTCCCCAAACCCTCTTTTCTCATTACATGGCCCAGAGACTTCAGCTACCTCTTCCTGATGTTAAGAATAAGCTTCCTCCTTGTTTGCATCCTCTCCAAAAACCTCATTGTTGTTCACATGTTCCGATCATGGTATCGTTAGCATCCGTCTGTCGAACCATACCACCGTTGCATTGAATCTCTTCTTCATCTTTGAGGAGGCCGTCCAACATACTTTGCCGTAAAGGAGGACAGTAGGCTGATTTTGAAGGTCAATTTTTTAAGTATGAAAACTTTCCACATTATGGTAATTATAATTCATTTGATCTTTTTTTCTATATATGTGCCGTGTCCCTTCTAGACGTAGGCAATGATGGCTCTCCACTTCACCCTGTTCCTTGTAGTTCTCAATGTTTTGTCCGTTTGTTATTTCTCCCAAACGTTGTCCCATCATCCACTTTCTTAAGCCTGCTAAGTATGTCACACGTTGCTTTCCCTTGTCAATTTTTCCCTCTATCCGTGCTGTGTGTATCAGATTTTCCAAGCCCTCATTTTTCATAACGTGTCCCATAGATTTCAGCTGCCTCTTTCTAATGTTAAGCATAAGCTTCCTCCTTGTTTGCCTGCTCTCCAAAACCTCGTCTTTGCTCACATCTTCGGTCCATGGTATCGTTAACATCCTTCTGTAGAACCATACCTCCGTTGCCTCGAATCTTTTTATCTTTACCAAAATAATAATAATAATAATAATAAGAAGAAGAAGAAGAAGAAGAAGAAGTGAAATAGCGATGATAATGATGATGATAAAACAAACAGGGTCATTCATCTTGCTGCAACTGTCATGCTGACAGTTACTTGCCTGTGCCTGTCACGTCCTGCTGTGTTCCATAGTGACGACGGCTCAGTGAACGGACAGATACGGTCCACCAGTTTGAGTGTTTTCGATGAAACCGATGCTTTTTTTTTTTTTTTACTTCTATTAACTTTATTCATTTTTCTTTTTTTTACCTTTTTTTTTTCTTTCTTTTAGATTCGAGTACTGACTAATAAACGTAAGGCGGAGATATAAGCAAATTCAGTGTCGGAAGGAAGAGTAAGGAATTTATTTGGCAGTGATAGAAGACGTCCATTGAAAGCGAAACCATTTTCTTTCCAGTTCGTGATGGAATCAAAATTGACTGAGACAAATAAAATAAGGTTTAAAAAAAAAAAAAAAAAAAAAAAAAAAAAATTACTCCAAAAAATTGCAATCTGGTTTTAGAAATCGCGCCAAAATCAGTCGAGCACACAGGTTCCAAACAACAAAAAAAAAGCAATCGTTGGCATATTTTTGCGTTCCCGATGTCTTTCTTTCCTATATTTTATTTGTTATTTAACTCTCTCTCTCTCTCTCTTTCTCTCTCTCTCTCTTTCTCTCTCTCTCTCTTTCTCTCTCTCTCTCTTTCTCGTTCTCTGACTCTCTCTATAGATATGCAAATATGTACGAATAGGTTTTTCTATTTATTAATCTCGTTCTTTTTTGTCTTTCTTTTTCTCTCTCGCCCTGATATCTGTTCAATAATTTTTCTCTTCACCTTTTGTCTTTACTTCTCCCTTTCTCTTTCCTCTCGCTATACCCTCCCCTCCTCCCTCTTTTTCTTTGCTTTTTTCTTTCTTTATCTCTGCTGTTCTCTCTATTTCCCTTTACTTGACACTATCCGACTTTCTCTGCCTCTGTTTTTTTTTTTTTTTTTTTTGGTTTGTCTTTCTAAATGCTCTTTCTATTTGTTTCTCTCACTCTCTCTGCAGCTCAGCTTTTCCTACTCCGCCGAAATCTCAGTAACTTTTAATTTCCTCCTCTCTCTCTCTCTCTCTCTCTCTCTCTCTCTCTCTCTCTCTCTCTCTCTTTGTTTTTCCTTTCTTTATCTCTGCTGATCTCGTTTTTGCTTTACGTTTTTTTATTTTATCTGCATTTGTTTTTGTTTTTTGTCTTTATAAACATTCTCTCTCACTCAGTCACTTTTCTCTGCCCCACTCTCTATTTCTATCTGTCTGTCTGTCTGTCTTTCTCTCTCGCTATCTATTTCTCACTCTTTTACTCTTAACTGCTCTTTCTTAAGCTCTACTTTTCCTTCTCTCACTGGGATTTTCAGTCTTTCTTTCTTCCCATCCTCTCTCTCTCTCTCTCTCTATCTATCTATCTATCTATCTATCTATCTATATATATATATATATATATATATATATATATATATATCACTCTTTTTATCATGTTTTATAAAAACGTGCCATTTTCGCTAGTAAATTTGCCAAAACCAGTCTAGCATTTCCGACCTAGGCAAAAAAAAAGACAAGTACCGTCGATGATATTTTCTCCTTATCTCGTCTTCATCTACTCCACCTCTCTCTCCTTTACCCTTTCTCCCTCTCTCTCTCTTTTACCATTTCTCCCCCTCTCTCTCTCCTTTACATTTTCTCCCCTCTCTCTCTTTTACCCTTTCTCTCCTCTCTCTCCTTTACTCTTTCTCCCCCTCTTTCTGCTTTACCCTTTCTCCCTTCTCTCTCTTTTAGCCTTTCTCCCCCTCTTTTTTTTTACCCATTCTCTCCCTCTCTCCTTTACCCTTTCTCCCCTCTCTACTTTTGCCCCTTTCTCCCCCTCTCTAATTTTTACTCTTTCTCCCCCCTCCTTTACCCTTTCTCCCCTCCCTCCTTACCCTTTCTCCCACTCTCTCCTTTACTCTTTCTCCCCTCTCCTTTACCCTTTCTCCCCTCTCTCCTTTACCCTTTCTCCCCCTCTCTGTCCTCTATCTCTCCCAATTTCTCACTCTCTATCTCTCTCTACTATCTCATTCCGTTTTCTCTCTCCCATCTCTCTCCCTCCCACTCTCTCTATCTTTTCCCCTCTCTCTCTCTCCATTTCTCTCTCTCCCCTCTCTCCATTCTCTCACTCTCTCTCTCTCTTTCTCTTTCTGCTCGTCAAGTATTTGATTTTCTGCCCCTAATTTTATTTCCTTCTCAATTTACTTGCTATTATCTCTCTCACTCTGTCTATTCCTTTCTTTTTTTCTAATCTATATCAATAGACACACACACATGTATATATATATGTATATATATATATGAGAGAAACCCAGATGAGGCTATGCCGAATGGCAGTCTCATCTGGGGAGGTAAACAGCCACCAGTCTCTGTGTATTCAGTGTCTATGGGTAATTTTCCCCAACCCTATTATATTTGCTCTACACTGTATTGAGCACTCTTTTAAGATCAGTATTTGTTGGTTATTGGAAATTATTCGTATACACCAATCCTATATATATATATATATATATATATATATATATATATATATATATATATATATATATATATATATATATATATATATAAGTATAATGCGCCGGTATGCAGAAAATAGAAAAGAACATGTTGGGTGCATAATCCGGAGTTCCTTAGTATTTTTGTTTTTATTTTTTAAGAAGACAGTGTTCCATACAGAAGTAGAGCTTTATTATAATAATATTTTTTGTTTAAAAGACTATTTTTGACCGCAAACATTAGCCTTGAAATAGATACCCTACCCAACCTTAGGAAAACCTCTCAGAAGATGATGTATCTATTGATAAGAATTAACTCTCTGACCACTTAACGTAGGCAAATACTCTAGCCACTCCCACAATAACGAATTCTGTAACGGACCATGCCTAAAAACACACGTAAACCGAGAGATAGCTTATTCCTAAAATTTCGCTTGAAGATGAAACGGGACTAAATACCACAATTCAACTTAATTTTAATAATTATTTGATAGTTTTTCGGCTCTCGTTTTGAAACATGAGAACTCTTATGTAGCGAAAGAATCATAGTTTTAAATAAAAATATATATATATATATATATATATATATATATATATATATATATATATATAGGGTGGGGAAGTAAAATTTGCACTACAAGTTTTACTTGTTTTTCTCATGTAGTATTTCAACTAATTTTATCAGACCTGGTTCTTTTTATTATCATAACCTTGCGTAATAATTGCCTACATTTTTTCAGATAATTGTGTAAAAGATGAGTGTTGAGGAAAGCAAACGTCAAAGGGTGTGTGATACGATAAATGCACGTGTTCATCCATAGAAGATTTCGAGCATAGTCGGAGTATCCCTACAGACAGTTTTTTAATGTGAAGCAAAGAATGACTAGAAGGGAAACTATTCAGAGAAAGCCTGGAAGTAGCAAAATCAACAAAAAGCTCAATAATGATTTCTTCAACATTCCCAATTCCAAAATCTCAAAATACCCAACGAAATCCATAAGAAAATTATCAACTGAACTGAAGGTAGACGTCAAGACTATCAGAACAGCAGTGAAAGATAACTTAAAACTAAAATCTTACACAAGAACACCAAGACATTTGTTGACACGACCCATGAAGGTCAGCAGATTGGAAAGATGCAAAAAAAGGGTTTTACTTATCTTAAAAGAAACAATTCCACTGTGAAAATTTTCTCACACAAAAAGCTCTTTACAGTTGATGATGCTCTGAATCGCAGGAATGGCAGATACATTGCACACTCAAAAGCTCAGGTTAAGGCCATTTTCAGAACGAAAGATTCAGCTCAAGTTATGGTCTTTGGGGTTGTGGCCTCCGATGGAAAAAATGTCTATCAAATTTTATAAACCTGGTGAAAAGGTTAATGCTGATATCTATTAAAAACTCAATACAGATACAATGTATTAGGTTGTCCCAAAAGTTCGTAAACACTTGCGAAAAATTGAATTTTTATGCAACACAATCCAGCACAATCGAGACAGGCGATGGGTTCAGAAAGGGCAAGAGACACCGTCGGTTCCAAAACAAGATCGATTCGGCAAGAAAGTCATGTTGTGCGTTTGGTGGAACTTTTAAGGAATCGTGCATTTTGAGTTGGTTCCGAATGGTCATGCCATCAGTGCCGAACTTTACCGTCAGCAACTGGAGCGGGTCTACGAAAAGTTGAAGCAAAAGTACCCGGCTCTGATCAACCGAAAGCGCGCTTTGATGCAACAGGACAATGCCAAGCCACACACTGCCAGGAAGACCAAAGACAAGTTTGAAGATCTGGACGGCGTTGAGGTTCTGCCACATCCAGCCTACAGTCCTGACTGTGCTCCATCAGATTACGGCCTTTTTCCGCTCAATGCAACACTTTCTGACGGGCCGCCGATTCGACTCGTTTGATGAAGTCGAGGAAGCGTGTCAAGAATTCTTTGATTCGACGCCGGCTGAATGGTACTTTCACCAGATCCGAAAGCTTGCAGATCGATGGCAGAAAGTCTTGGAAAATGATGGCCTTTATTTTGAAGAATAATTTTTGTTGTTTTTGTTATTACTTGGCGAGTAAAATTTCAATTTTTTGCAAGTGTTTACGAACATTTGGGATAACCTAATATTATCATGGCTCAAAGGCAACTACCCAGAGGGGGGCATTGTATGGACTCGGAATGGGGCTCCTGCCCATACAGCCAAAAATACATATTTTCTGCAAATCAAATTTTGCCGATTTTTGGCGATTACACTAATGGACCTCTTCCAGTCCAGATCTCAACTCTTTAGATTATGCCGTTTTCAGCGTTTTAGAATATACGACTAATAGAACCTCTCATCCAAACGTTAACTCTGTTATGGATACCATCGGAGAAAAGTGAGACAAGATGTCCTCTGTTCTTCTGGAGAAGAGTTGTAGAAGTTTCAGGGGGGCGTGTGGAGACAGTAATTGGGAAACAAGGAGGACATATCGAATATAATTTTTCTTTCCTTTTCTATGTATATGGTGGAATCAATCGTATTTCTTTAAATAAACTAATTTATCAACTATAAGGCTTTTTTATTTCAAAACCAAAATTACGCAAGTTATGACTCCCCACCTTGTATGTGTAATTAGTTATCTATATTCAGAGTTTTCTAGATTATTTTTGATTTACTTTCTCAGTAATATTTTTCTTAGAAAAGAAACTTAGCTTCCTAAAAATTCATGATATATGGTAATTGATTCGTTTTCCGCGGTTTATGAACCCTTTTGTGAAGTTTGTGACCCTGGGTTTCACGCTTTAGCGATCGTCAGACAAACTCTGACGATCATCAGACAAACTCTGACGATCGCTAAAGCGTGAAACCTAGGGTCACAAACTCACATCTATCCAACCAAATATGTTAGCTCTATCTCTGATACTGAGCGCTTTCTAATAAGTACCGCGCATATAATATATAAATAATTATACATATATATATTTATTTATATTGATATACACTTTTCACACATATATATATATATATATATATATATATATATATATATATATATATATATATATATGAGTATATATGAGTATATATCTATTAATAAATATACATATACTCTACGTCCGAAGTGCAACTTAAAATTTTGTTGTTCTACCAACTCATCAGGCACAAATTATTACTTTTAATTTTAAAAAAATATTGCGTCTCATTGGAGGAAAGCTTTGAATCTGTGTTTAGTTTAGCGTTCCTCTCATGAGACCCAGTATTTTTTAATCAGATTGATGCAAATGCTGAAGGTTGCTTACACTATTTACGTTGTTCGGACTGTTGTCCTCATCTTTATTGTCATTTTGACGATGATTCGGCCGTTGTAAGCTCCGGCCTTTTTCAGGTGTCCCCAAGGACATATGTTCCAGGGGATAAAAGTGTTGGTTGAAGTAATCCAGTGACTTGACCCGAAAGAGTTTTGAGTTCAATACCTGGCCACAGCAGAGATGAACAATAACTTGGAGAGTTCAGTTACTAAAGAGAAATAACTAAAACTGAGATATCCAAAAAAAGGCATGACACGTGGAACTAGAACAATCTACCCCCGGTGGACGAAAGAAAGGATTCAATTCGAAATTCCAACGTATATCTTGTAAAATAAGAGGGTGTATGACTGTCAGTCTCAGATGTAAAAATACCGTTTGGAGATAACTAAATGAAGCAAGTATTACGAATTTGATTTATATTACACTGAAATCCCAAGGCACATTGTAATAGCCAAAGATGCCTTCCGAAAGCTGAGCAAAGTATTAGAAAACAGGAAAATTTCGTTA